ATTGTATTGTATCAATAACTTACTATAGAAGCAGAAGCTGTATTACTGTTATATTGTATCAATAACTTACTATAGAAGCAGAAGCTGTGTTACTATTGTATTGTATCAATAACTTACTATACAAGAAGAAGCTGTGTTACTGTTGTATTGTATCAATAACTTACTATACAAGTAGAAGCTGTATTACTGTTGTATTGTATCAATAACTTACTATACAAGCAGAAGCTGTGTTACTGTTCTATTGTATCAATAACTTACTATACAAGCAGAAGCTGTATTACTGTTTAACTGGTAACTTAAGTTTATCAGAAATACACATATGATGATGTACTAATCATCCACTGCTGCTCAGCTTGTTACACGAAGCTGAAACTTTAATGCTTATGTGCCAGCTGAATACTCAGTGTTGAACTTGTGACTTACCAACATTGTGTTGCTACAATAGTAAATCAGATAATGTTACAGTGTTGTGGTAGTGGTGTTGTACTTGTGACTTACCAACACTGTGTTGTTACAATAGTAAATCAGATAATGTTACACTGTTGTGGTAGTGGTGTTGTACTTGTGACTTACCAACACTGTGTTGTTACAATAGTAAATCAGATAATGTTACACTGTTGTGGTGGTGGTGTTGTACTTGTGACTTACCAACACTGTGTTGTTACAATAGTAAATCAGATAACGTTACACTGTTGTGGTGGTGGTGTTGTACTTGTGACTTACCAACACTGTGTTGTTACAATAGTAAATCAGATAATGTTACACTGTTGTGGTGGTGGTGTTGTACTTATGACTTACCAACACTGTGTTGTTACAGTGTTGTGGTACTTGTGACTTACCAACACTGTGTTGCTACAATAGTAAATCAGATAATGCTGCTAGAGTGACATATATATATATATATATATATGTAGGTGCTATTGGAAGATGATATATTCCCACCAATGCCTATGTGTGTAGGTGCTATTTTCACAAAGTTGTACAAGTTGTCTCATTTATTTTGGAATTGAAAGATTTTTTTTTTTTAACCTGTGTAGCATGAAAGACATGTAAGCATTATTACACAAATATTTTTTTGATGAAGTTTATACTGACACATTTTTATAATGCAATTGTTATGGATCAAGAAATACATTTGTATACAGTTTTCATACTTGTTTTTATAACCTTACGTACTTGTGTTTATAACCTTACATACATGTGTTTATAATCTTACATACATTTTATACAGTTTTCATACTTGTGTTTATAACCTTACATACACGTGTTTATAACCTTACATACATTTTATACAGTTTTCATACTTGTGTTTATAACCTTACATACACGTGTTTATAACCTTACATACATTTGTATACAGTTTTCATACTTGTGTTTATAACCTTACATACACGTGTTTATAACCTTACATACATTTGTATACAGTTTTCATACACGTGTTTATAACCTTACATACATTTGTATACAGTTTTCATACACGTGTTTATAATCTTACATACAGTTTTCATACTTGTGTTTATAACCTTTATTTCTGTCTTGTAGATGGAGAAATTGGGTGGTGCGAGGAATCTTTACTTGGGTTATGATATTTGGTTTCGGGCTGATCATCTGGCTTGGACCTCTCATGTTGTTATTCACCGTAAGTCATGTTACTAACATGAAGAAGTACATTATGGTAATATAAGTTAGGGAACAACAATTTATAAACATAATGAAGTGATTTAATTTAGGGGGGAACATACTATGTGTTTTGACAGAAAAAGAGACTGATGTTCCCCCAAAATAAGAAATCATTTCATTATCTTATTATTGTGTGTGTGGTGTGTGTGTGTGTGTGTGTGTTTTATATAGAAAATTACTATTTC